TGAACTCTCGCCCCCTCTCTTGTCACGATTAGCTGTTCTAGAGTTGTGTTTGACACTACCAGAGAAACCTCTTGAACGCAAACGTATCATGGACCATGTACATACATAGACCCCATTCAGAACTCTTGCTGTTTAGCGCCACTTATATAGTGCTGTTTGCCGACATTGTTTTGGGGTATATTTATACTATACTTATAATGAAGAGTCCTCAAAATAGTATTGGTAATAAAAACAGGCTAATTAAGGCCTCCATATATTACGTTGAAGCAACACTTAGACTTCAAAGGAGAGAGATGCCGCCTGTCCCGCGACGCGGCCGCCCGCGCCGATGCCGATGACTGGTGTCTCGGGAAGTGACGACTGGACCTGGTTGGCGTTCTCCTTCCTGAATATTACGGAATATATAAAGTTTTGTTCTGTACTTTCAGAGGTGGCCGAACGGTCTAGAGTAGCCTCATACGCCATTACATAGATGCTGACGGCTTGGTATGTCGATGTGGGCGATGAGGTCCTATGAATTTCTGCGTGGGCTGTCTGCTTTTTCTATTCATCGTTGCACAATGCCTGCCCTTCAAATCCTACCTATGACACGAGCACTGCCTTGACACAAAAGCATCTACACCATCACCCTCCGTCCCTTTCGGAACGAATCGCACGGAGATCTCTGAAACTAGAGAGCAACCAACCACGAGCTGAAACGCACCGTTCTTAGCTAACTAAACCCTACCTCAACCCCTAATAACCTCCTTTTTAAGGGCTTATATAAGGAAACCATAATAAGGAACCCTAAAAAGCCAGAAAGCCAACCCTTCGCTGCTGCTGTCAAACTGCCAACACCTACTCGGTAGGCTGCCCAGTGGCTCTGATGGAGCTATATACTATACAGAGTTTAGGGTTTAGGATTTAGGGTTTAGGGTTTGGGGTCTTCTGATCTTGGGTTCAGGGCCTTATTTTGCGGTGCTTACAGTCTACACATGCCACCCTGAACGATCGGGGGTAACCCTCCAACGTTCTCACGAAGTCTGCTGCACATGAAAATGGTAGTTGTTCGAAATACCTGTCTCCCTCATGAGGTAGGCTCCCTTTGCAGGTCAGTTCTTCTGACATTCTGAAAGGAGGAAGTGTGTTCCCAACAGTCGCTTCCAACGGACTCATAGAACATCCCTCCATGCGCCTTCAACCGTTTAAAACCCCTGAAGGATCATGAAGAAACTTTCTCAACCACTGCGAAAGGACCGCCTCCAGCTCTGCAAACCTTCTGCCACGCCCTCTGAAGCCAGTTGAACTCTTCCAAATAAGCTGTGCGTGTCGGGAGAAGCTTGGGCACCCTGCGGCTAAACCAACCTGATCCACACATGTGCACAACAGAAGCGGGTCCAGTCCCTACCTCAAGCCCAGATCACCTACCTTTTTCAGGACTTGTATGAGGAAATTATATTAAGGGACCCTAAACGGGTACGTTTCGGAGGGTCCTGTCCTTATGGACCAGACCACCTTTTAAGGGTTTTATGGCTCATATCTCATATACGGTTTAAGCTTGGTACCCATACTGCTCACGTGACATTTGATGACCGATGAGGTCCTTATGGACCAAATGAATCCTAAACGGGCATACGATTCGCATCCAATGTAAGAGGGTTTCTATGTACTGTAGGGTATCTTAGGGTTTCTAGGACAAGATGCTGAACCCTAAACCCTCAACCACTCACTCAGGGAGCTTGGACCGTCAGAGGGTTCGGGCTTTGTGGTTAGGGTTCGATAAGGGTTTACGGGGCTTTGGCGTGTCGATAGCAGCCAGAAAGCCAAGTCGACATCTATGTCTTCTCTCAAAACACCAGAGCCTCGAAAGCGACGTGCTTTTAACGATGTCAGAGTATACAGAAGCGCTGGCATCCCCCAAACTCTAAAACTACGTATGAACCTTTGCCCCCGAACTTTCTGAGGGCGTTGTATCATAGCACCCGGCACCTTAATAAAGTCCCCGGATCATGCAGGCTCATACATCGGCTGTTCCCTGAACCTGCGGGGCAGAACAAGCAGGGATTCTACAACCCTATCTGTGTTGAGGGTATAGGGATCTAGGGGCATCAGGTTCTAATTCTTAAATTTAGTGTTGGGAAATTGAAAGCCAATCTACTGTCTGGCCCATCTCGATCCTGACAGCTTCTTTTATGGCTCAGTTTGCGTGGGTTGGGGCTTAGGATTTAGTTTAGGGTTCAGGGTTCAGGGTTTAGGGTTTAGGGTAGTAGGATTTAGTGGGCCGGAACGTGCAAGATCAACCTCCCCATAAATTCCCAGCAAAAACTCTTCTAAGAGTATCACTTACCCCAAGGGTCGATGTACCCAGATAGTATATACTTTGGCCTTAAAGTAGTCCCTATTTGGGTACTTTGGGGCCAATGTATATACTATATGAGTACATGGACCCTTAAGGTTAATAAGAAAGCCCAAAGTTCGACGCTTCCGGAAAATCCGAAAGAATCTTAAGTGGTCGGCCGGACGTGTGGAGAGTAGTCAAGGTAAAGAGTCTTCCTCAAACTACCAAAACCTACTTTTCGTCGGTTCTTGATAGACACCCTAACTATTTATAGGGACAATACTAAAGATGCTAGTAGGTTTCGGATGTTCAACGTAGAGCCTAAACTTGCCTAAACCTCCTAAACTCAAGCACAAACGCCACAGAACAGCAAAACCATGACTTTTTCGGCCAGATGCTGGAGAAGCTCGTTTGGCTTTGGCAACGTGGCTGCCGCACGGCTGATGAATTAGGATTTAGGGCCTGCGGTTCTTGCCTTGATTGCTTCCAACTGAAGCGATTGCAGGTGCCCTAAACTACACCCTATACCATAAGTTGTAGTCCACCTTGAAGATGTGTTCATGACCTACCTAAACCCTAAACCCTGAACCCTAAACCCTGAACCCTAAACCCTAAACCCTGAACCCTAAACCCTAAACCCCTAAACTCCTAAACCCTAAACCCAAACGCTCGCATCTAGTCACGGAGGAGCCCGGTGCCACAGGCGCCGTCGTCCAGCTCCCTTCGGGGATACTCTGCCTTAGCTGCCCAGCATCCCGGCCCCGAAAAAGTTTAAACTTTTCGTTCAGTAGGGGGTTTAATATACCAAAAAAAAGTTTAAACTTTTGTTTTAGTAGGGGTTTAATATACCTAAAAAAGGTTTAAAGTTTGCCTATTGGGCTCCTGAGCTGCGATGACAAGCTGGAGCCCAATCAGTGCCACAGCACTGACGGCCACCATCATCATCGAATCGTAAGCTGAAGGGACCACCTCGGCAGGTTTTAGGGTTTAGGGCTTTAGGGTTTTAGGGTTTAGGGTTTAGGTTTTTAGGGCTTTAGGGTTTAGGGTTGAGGGTTAGGATACACGGCCCTACTAGAAGGGCGTGAACAGTTAAATCATATCCACTGCCCTATACACTTACAGTATCATGTGTACCAAAACCCTGCTCTGAACATGAAGGCCCCTACCTACCTTAGAAGCCTTCACCATCAACATCCGGATCCAGACTCCTGAACGTCTGCTCCTTTCTTCCCTACCTGGGTTCGCATTGGGACCTTAATTGATGATCTTAATAGAGGCTTTGTGGGGGGATGTTATAATGTCGTGGGTTTATGCGAGGGATGTCGGCATGTACTGTTACAGGAATATAGCGCTTGAGGTATTGTTAGCAGTTGTGATTACCAGCTGTTCAGATTCGAAGCTGTTTCGCTTGCTACAAACTGTAGCTTCTCAGGTGGCGCTATGGGACTAGCCCCGACAAGCCAGGATAGGAGTTTTCTTCTTCTGAAAGAAGTGTTTAGTTTCTGGCTTCAGGTATGTGTGGAACCGCTGTGAACTGCAGGAACGATGACATGATACTTAGGGGCCGAGTACCTTAGCCTTAAAAAAGGTTAACCTTTTGAATTTTTGAATTATGATAGGTTTATATAAGCCCCGAAAGGTTAAAGCCTACTCAGCCCCTAAGGATATGAAAGCTGAACTTAGTTTCTGGGTCCTCCTTCGACAATGTTGAATAGAAATCACCCGCAGCCGAGCCCCGACAAGCATCCGCAAGAGATCTCACTCTCAATCCATATACCCATAGGCCCCTAAGTAGTTCCTTTTTGGGATTACCTTATTGGATCCTAAATATAAACCACAAAAAGGAACTATCATGGAGCCTATGGGTAGTCATATAGATCTCGTATTGTAGCCCCTATGGTACGCCTTGAAATCGCCCTCTCCGGCCGCTGTAGATCCCGAAACGGAAAAAACGCCCCTATGTAACCCTAAACCCCAAAACCCTAAACCCCAAACCCCAAACCCTAAACCCTCCGAGGCACAGGATAGACCGCCAGCAGAACCATGCCAAAGAAGTTGATCAACCAGGAAAAGGCTGCTCCTGCCACCCCCATTTGGGGTCCCTAAACCCTAAACCCTAAACCCCATAAACCCTAAACCCTAGGGTTTAGGGTTTAGGGTTTAGGTTTCAGGGTTTGGGTCTTGGGCTATGGGTTTAGGTTTTAGGGTTTAGCTTTTGGGGTTGGGGGGTTCAGGATTCAAGGCGAGCGGCTAAGGTTGAGGGTGTAGGGTTTAGGGTTTAGGGCTTAGGATTTAGGGTTTAGGGTTTAGGGCTTAGGGCTTAGGATTTAGGATTTAGGGTTTAGTAGGTTTTGGGGTTTAGGGTCTAGGGTTTATGGGGCAAATCCTGGGCCCTAAACCCTAAACCTCCCTGGGGGTCTCGAATTTCGGGCTCGGCGTCTGGGGTTGGGGCTTACGCGTGAGAGTGTGAGGATTCAGGGCTAGGAGACGGACCACAAGGGGGATAATGCGACTCGTGTTCACCACCTCCATACTACGGTTGATAATATAAATCCTGCACTACCCTAAGGAACCCTAAGGACCTAAACTATGGGAACTATGGTATATTCCTTATTGTGTAATGCAGGCTTTATATCATCAACCGTATGGTCCTGTGACATCGGATAAGTCAGCTCGGCGCTCAGCTCGTAGACGATGGGTGCCATGGCACCTTCAGCGATGCTAGCCAGCACCACGCATGCCATCAGCGTCCTGGGAGGCCCGAAAAGGAAGCCTTAAACGAACCCTTAATAAGCAAGACTGTAGAATAAGGAGACGGCAATGGTCATATGTCCACTTACATGTGTTCACACACACAAACACATAATATAATTACACATACTGTCGGACGCTTCAGCCACCAGCTTGAGACAAGCGGCCCAGTCGAGCCCTTCATTAGAGGCAGCGGGCTATCCGGAAGAAGCACTGCAAAGAGTGCATAGGCCACCAGCTGTAAGCACAAGGTGATCCCCAGGACCATCTTCAGGCGAGTCTGCAAGTGCAACATTTCCTGGGCTCTTGTTCAGGGATTTAAATAATGTTACTATAATAAGGAAACCCGATTTATTTACTATAGATCCCTATTATGGTAGCTTAAACTAATTTCCTTAACAAGAACCCAGTTTCAATGAGCTGCGGGGCAGTAAAGTTTCCAATTACCGAGGCCAAGGAGGTGATCACGGCAAACCACTTGAGCACGGTTTCCGGCAACACTCCTGGCAAAGCATGCAGAACCCTAAATGTCCATGCACCCAACTAGAACCTTTAGGGCCCTTTTTTAAGGGTTCCTCTTTAAAGGGTTCTATAAGGGGTCTATAGGGTTTAGGACTCTAGAGTCCATGTACCCAAATAAAGTTAGCATTGAATTGTCTAATCATGAACCACCCCCTAGCACCCAAACCATAACAAACTATATCTCAACCACCCAATCAGCCCCAAGACAAGACCCACCTGAAGAACACCATTAGAAGACCCACCCCGAACCCCATAGAAAATCTGAACCTTAACCCCATAGCAAGCCCCACCTGACAGAGAAACCAACCCCCAACCTTTAACCCCTAACCCACGAAAATGGAAACGGTCATCTCAAACAAGATAGCGATAATAGGGTTCAGGTTTGGGGTTTAGGGTTGTAACTACAATATACTTAACATCCGTAATATGTTAAGGATTATACTTCAAGCCTCACAACATGGTCTGATGAACGTTGGGAAAGAACGCCTAAAGCCTGCTCCCAGCTTCGCTCTCAAACTGGATGGCGAACCTTCGCCCATTTAGGATTAAATAACGACTTAAACCCCTAACCTAATGACCCTATACCCCCATAACCCATAGGCTTGTGCCACTTCCGATTTCAAATGCTTAGGGGTTTAGGGGTGTTACTTTCGGGTTATATGGGTTGGGATGGCCTGGAGTGAGTCTCTTTTACTATAGGAGCTTAAATAATTAATAATTACCAATACTATTTTAGGGGCTCCTTATTATAACTATAGTATAATATACCCCAAAACCCTATTCAAATTCTAATTATTAAGGCTTCTACATTTTCTTCAGGCGGGTCTTCGAGTTGGCCTTCCTCTCGGGATGTTTCGGTGCGTCTTGGGCTGGCGCTGGTAGGTGTATTCGGCTGGTGTGGTCTAGGTGTGGTATTGCCTTATCCCTAAACCCTAAACCCTAAACTAAACCCGACTACCGTTATTTTTGTTAGAAGTGACCGTTCCCATCTTCGCGAGTTAGGGTTGAGGGGGTGCTTTTCGGGAGTGCTTCAAGGTCAGGTATGGGGTTATGTCGGGAGTCGTGGGCTGGAGATAGGGTTTAGGGTTTAGGGTGTCAAGGATGGTTTCTTAGGTTGGGTCTTGGGTTTGGGAAGTTGAAGGGTTCATGGATGGTTTATCAAGATGCTTTCTTAGGTTCGGCGTAGGGGGGGGGCATGGTTGGAAAACCGAAATGGTCTATGCTAACTAATAGTATATATATACATACATATATACTTTTTTGTCCTTGAAGTAGTCCCTATGCAAGAGCCAATGTAGATACTGTATGAGCACATGGACCCTTGAGGCGAAGGTGATAAGGACGTGGCGGCCTAAACCCTAAACCCTGTAAACCCTAAACCCAACCCCTACAAACCCTTTAAGCCCTATAAATCCTATACACCCTATACACCCTGAACCGTATAAGCCCTATCAACCCTATAAACCCTATAACTCTATAAACGCTAAACCCTAAACCCGATCAACCCTATAAACCCTCTAAGCCCCATAAGCCCCATAAACCCGATAAACCCCAAAAAACCTATAAACCCTATAAACCCTATAAACCCCATAAGCCCTTTAACCCTATAAACCTTATAAGCCCTAAAAACCCTATAACCCTATAAGCCCATAACAACCCTATACGCCCGATAAGTCCTATAAACCCTATAAGCCCTCTAAACCCTGAACCCACGCACCGGGAGACTCCCCTAACTCGAAACCCCAAAAAAGCATCTTTCCGTTGCTGCTTGGAACCTGAGGTGCTAACCCTACACCCCAAAGCCTGAACCCTCAACCCTAAACCCTATAAACCCTGAAGTAGCGACTCAGGGGTTTTAGGGTTCTAAGATTTTAGGGCTCTCTTGGGGCAAAGCAACGCACCACACAACTGCACAAATTTGGTGGTTCAAGGTTCAGGGTTAGGGTTTAGGGTAGGTTAGGGTTTTGTGGGGGAGAGTCGCTTGAACGCTGTCGCCTTGACAAAAAACCCCAACCCCCCTCCCCGTACGCGTACTTTATTATCTCCCACCTTGAAGCTGCGTGGGTAAAGCGGGCGACCAACACTGGAAAACTCCGACGACAGCCCCTGCTGCCAGTAAGAGCACCCATGTGGAGATCATACGTCTTCGAGGCACTGCGCTTGCCTGCACAGAGGAATGGGATGTTAACATTAGGGTTTAGGGGTATGAATTGTCATAGATGACAGAGATTTATGCATCAAAAAGCATATGTTACATACTATATACTAGGGAAAGGGGGTATGCCTTACAGTCTGGGGAACAAAGGCTTTGGGTTGAGGTGGTCGAGAGGCTGAAATCTTACATGTATACAGGTTTAGGGTTTAGGGCTGGTCCCATAGGCTCCATTATTGTTCCTTTTCGTGGTTTATATTTTCTCAGGTAATCCCAAAAAGGAACTAGTTTGGAGC